CACGCGTTCCGTCGCCTTGCTTGAGGTGAAATGATTAAAATACAAACTAGAAAACAACAACAAAAGTCTCTGCGATGTCTAAACGCATCTGGTTAATGTTGGTAAGAACATGATAGTCTTGACTTCGACGTTGAGTAATATGAGCTGTCATAGTCCGATTGACTGATGAATTGCATATTACTAAACTTAAAAGAGTTTAGCTGATGTACATATAAAATGGTTCTTTTTATTAATACGTTCGAGGCAATACCCTCAAAGACAACAGAATTCATATTGGTCTTATTCAATAGGTAGCTTATTATCATTTAAACATACATATATACAGATTGAAAAGTAACTTCCTATTTTAAAATACTTATAATTTATTTATTAACTATAATTTTTACAAGAAATGGATATAATTGGAAAATGTTTAGCATGAGGTTTTATTTAAAATTCGATATGGGCACCAGATTTTGCTACCAGCTTCTCGATTCGTCCAGGAATCGCATAAATTGATTTCACTAGGAACTCTTGTGGTATGGAAGACATAACTTCTTGTATTCGTTCTTCAAGTTCTTCCAAAGTCTTGGTTTTGTATAGTAGTCTTGCTCCATTAACCAACCCCAAAGAAAAAAAGTGTCATAATACCTATTCTATTGTAATGGGCTCTCCCACAGATAATAAGTAGTAGTAGCAGTCGCCAGTTCGGCTCAGTGGTGTTGAGCGAGTCAGACGATATCGGACATTGAAGTACCAACCATCACAACTAGATTGCTGCGTCATTAACTCTTATTTCTAAGTTCCTAACGTTTTGTACGTCGAACCTAATTTAGGACGACTTATTGAAATACAAGCCTCCACTGTGAAAACTACTCTACAACAAAAAGTCACAAAACTGACCACTCATACTTAAAAAGGGTGTTTCTTTTCAGTCACCCTGAATATTCCGTTTCCTGTTTCGTTGAAGAATGGTCCAACGCAAAGCTATTCTACTCTATGGGTATTGATACATTTTAGTGCCAGCGGCTAGCTTTTTCTGAGTTTTGCTTTGCTTTTTAGTATGTTAGGCTCCGATTAGTGATTTTTGAAACAATGATAATTTGTGCATAACACAAATTAATTTGGCTATTTATTTCTGGATAACATGTCAATTAGTGTTATGATTTTCTGTAATCCTGTGTTCCTTTTGTTCAAAAGTAACGAAAAAAAGCATTAATTTGTGTTAGTTCTTAAAAAAGGTCCCCCTCAAGCCGAAAATTTCATTTTGCCATATACGCAATAATAATGTTTATCCCAATCGAATATATGGCAAAATGAAAAATGGAAAATTAAAAGTATATCTGAAGCTATATTTTTCATTTTCTAATGATGTAATTGGATATTAATTATGAATGTTTTTACACCTTCAACAGTTTATAGCTAAAGCATAACATGCAACCTTACAAATAAACAAAAATTGCAAATTTGAAGAAGAAATAGTGGTCTGTATAGTAATAGAGGATAGAGTAGAAATAGCGATTCGTATAGTAATGGAGGATAAACTAGAAATAGCGATCCTTACAGTAATGGAAGATAGAATAGAAATAGCGGTCCGTATAGTAATAGAGAACAGAATAGAAATAGCGGTCCGATCCGTATAGTAATAGAGGATAGAGTAGAAATAGCGATCTGTATAGAAATAAAGGATAGAGTAAGAAATAGCGGTCCAAAAGTAGGAAAAATAAATTACAAAAATAATATCCGTATAATAATAGAGGATAAATTAGAAATAGCGATCCTTGTTTCTCTAATAGAGGATATAGTAGAAATCGCCTTTTTGTATATTAATATAGGGATAGAATTTAAATTATGTTTTGATAGAGGACTAATTCAAATAGCGATCTGATATATAATATAGGATAAAATATATAAATCTCTCTCCTCTATAGTTTTCTCTAGAGATTAGAAATACTCATCCGTATATATAATAGAGGATTGGCAAAATAACGATCCGTATATTGTAATAGAAAAAGATTTTAGAAATATCTGCTGATGAAATATTATTTTTTTTAAAGGTAAATAGTAATATGAGGATAGAGTAGAAATAGCGGATCTGTATATTAATCCAAGAATAGAAATTTTATACAAATAGTAATAGCATCTATTTTAGAAATATTTTTAGAGGATTAGAAATAAAATATTGTATAGTAATGATAGTAGAAAATACAGTTCATTTAGACGTTGTTTTGTTTTCGTATACATGCGTTTCCTCAATGGTCACGTGGTCTACTTAATTCAATAATGGTATCGCCTGTGTTTGCACACTGGCGCTCTATGTTCAAACTCAAGTGTCGGCAGCGACACTTTATTCCTATATAACACTTTTTGTTCGAATCTTGATGTGAGGGGACAACCGCTTCTGTTGGTATGTCATACAGATCCGTACACAACATCTTGGAATGACAATTTATGATAGTTTTGGCATCTGCTGAAGCACGAGTTCCATAAACTCTACGTCAACATCTCTGCCCTTGTACCA